GAGACCCGCCAGGTGCGGCTGGACGGCAGCTCAGACGTGGCCTACGCCCAGGAGGACGGCGTGCTCTTCAAGGAGACCACCAGCGACGACGGCGAGCGCCGCGGCTCGTACGAGTTCATCGGCGACGACGGTCAGCTGTACCGCGTCGAGTACACGGCCGGCGCTGGTGGCTTCAAGGTGATCAGCAGCACGCACGTGGACGCCACTCCGGACCTGCCCAGCGGCCCGGAGCAGTATTACGAGCCGTCCCCGGTGCCGGCGCCCACACAGGTGCGTCAGCCGGTCCGTCAGCCGGTGCGCCAGCCGGTGCGCCAGCAGGTGCGCCAGCCCGTCACCTCGGCGTTCGAGATCAACTACAACCCGGCACGACAGGCGATCCCCGCCACCACCACCACCACGGAGAGCACCGTGCGTAAGAACTTCCACACCGGCAATGTGGCGCTGTCCCAGGACGGCCAGGGCTACGTCTACAGCTACACCCACACCGGCTGAGCTGGCCGTCTGACGGGGTGCCAGCCGTCTGCTAGTCGAAGTTCGCCGAGCTGCTCCCGTCCAACAGCGGTCCCCTGTCTCATCTCATCACGTGCCTCCTTAGGGCCACTTCCGTCCGAAACTTCTGTTATCTGTCATCATGAAGTCATACGTTGGCTGTGGATATGTCCCACTTGACTGATATTGCTTACGCTTATCCAAGAGGTCTTGAGGAATCACTGGGCGGTTACCATCTTCGCAACTGTTCTGTCTCATGTCCATGCAAACGTGAAGTGTTTATCATGTGCAATAAACCAGAAAATCCCGATAACAGTAACAAAGTGTTTGATTTAAACGGAAAAGGAAGGGGAAAAAGAGGGATAAAGAGAAGGCAAAAATAGGTCCTCCTCCCTATCCAAGTTCTCTCCTCTGAGTAGTAAAGTAATCTTGCTCTCCTCTATCCCCGTTGGTGATAGCTGACGGACCTGATGCCGTGGTCGTGACTTGTCCCAACCAGACAACTCACTGATCAGTCACCCACGCACATTTCCAACCACATAATACAACTGACCTGAGATAATCCCTCGACCTATCCTCACAGTTACCAGCCCACTGACCTGAGGTCGTCCCCTGTCCGACTTTATCCGGCCGACTGACCTAAGGTCGTCTTCGACCTTCCCAGCCCACTTACTTGAGGTCGTCTCAGCCCACTAGCCTGAGGTTGCATCCGACCTTATCCACCCGACTAACCTGAGGTCGTCTACGACCTTATCCAACCGAATGGCCTGAGGTCATCTCTTATCCGACCTTACCCAGCCAACTGACCTGAGATCTTCCATCCGACCTTACCCAGCCGAGTGACCTGAGGTCTCCTACTCGACCTTACCCAGCAGACTGATCTCAGATCATCTGACTTCTGAGCCAACTGACCTGAGGTCATCTCCGCTCCGCCCGACTGACCTGTGCACCAGGTCGTCTCCGACCTTGTCGAGCTGCTCGTACCAGGCGTTCTCCAGGTCGAGGTACAGTCGCCGGTACGACTTGCAGTGCGCCGTCACCATGGTGCTCATAGAGTTCAGGATCTCGTACGCCTGGTCCTGTCGCACACACAGACCCAGGTGGTAATGGCGGCTGAAATGGCATGTAGTTATCTGATCCTTCCGACTCGGAGATGACCCGGCTCGTTGGTAGATTGACACCGGCCTGTCATTCGTCAGCATGCCTGCTACTGACCTTTGAAACGCTAACTTATATGCAACTGGCCTGCTATTGTCATTCGTCTACCGTCTCATTGGCAATTAGTTATCCGACCTACCACTCGCTGGTGATATGCTACCGACGTGCTATTCCTTCACGGACCTATCTATGATTCGTCGGTAACGTTTAATCGACATTTTATTCGTCCATCTACCGGCTTATACACCCCCGACTTATCTTTTGCCACTCGCCCATTTGTCATTCTCCTACGAACCTGCCACTCATCCACCGACTCGTCGGTGACGTGTTTGAGGAACAGGTCTGGCAGTCCGGTCACGTGCTCCCGGTAGTGTTGCCACACGGTGTCCATGCACGTCTCCAGCTCTGCCAGAGACGCCTCCACGTGACTCTCCACGGCGGCCGCCCGCAGGTACTCGGAGAGACGCTTCTCCGCCTGCCCGGAACGCAGGAGAGGTGAGGGGGAGCTAGGAGTTCGGGATAATAACATGGACATTGTAATTAAATGTTCGGTTTCGGAATGTGAAGGTTTGGTGAAGATTTCAAAGTTCTAGCAATGGCACAAATTGTAATGACCGTATAAATGAAAATCAATTGGCAGGAAGTACCTAAAGCATGGTCAATCGCCTTGCTCGTTATATGTGTGCGCCAGCCTCTCGGGGCTCTCACGCCCGCATTACGAGCACCCTGGGCAGCGGGCACACTGACTGAGAGCGCCCTGGAAGCTCCATAGACACCTTACCACTCACCTGCAGTATATTGAGCGTCCGCCAGGCGTCCCGGCGCACCTTCCACAGGTTCTTGAGCTTCTGCTTAGCCTCCACCTCAGCAGTGAGCCGGTTGAAGCGGAGCTCGGCGTACTGGCGCAGGTTACTGAGGATCATCTCGTTGAGCGCCACCGCCTCCAGCTCCAGCTGCTCCTCTACCTGAGGAGAGGAGAGGATCGTTCACGTCGCCGTGAGGTGAGACTGAATGGCAGGTAAGAGTGACTTCTGCGAGAAAAGCGGGCTGGCTCACGTTTTGATACATGGCACGCAAGCTGTTTTATTTTACCCGACTTTGTCCCAACTATTGTTCGGTGCGATTGGAACCCACTACGAGTAGATGCGTTTCTACATTTTCTCACTTTTTTTTGTTTTGTTGGGTTAGGCCCTTTCGGTCCAATGAGACCATTTCAGAGCCGGGAGGATAATAGGATATAGGGGGAGACATTGGTCTGGGCAGGCACCCTAGTGAGTCGCCGGGGCTGAGCCCGTATTTTCTCACCTCGGCAGGCATCTTGTGAAACGCCCTGGTCAGGAGCGGATGGTACTTTTTGAACACGTCCCGGAGGCGCGCCGTGCGCTCCGCCTCTAGCGACATCTGTCGGCTGAAGCAGTCAGCTATGATCTCCTGCCTTGCCCGGTAGATAGCGTGCAGGTCTTCCATCAGGGTGGTGAAGTCTGCCGCCGAGTACTGCCGAAAGAGATCGGACCGGTTCGTTAGAGATGGACAGATCATATCACAGATCGGTGTTCTTTGACTAGCCGCCGGCCCAGCAACGGCACAAATAGATACGGTAATCGGGAGCATCAAGAAACGACTTCTGGGAACTCATTTACAATTACATCAGCGATAATCAGGTCGAACAGTGAGTTAGATCAGGCACAAATTTATTGAAGAACCAGCAATGAAACGGTTCGTAATCAGGTCTAATTTGATATTTGATTCTCGATATGTGCTTCGACTTCGAGTATTTCGAAGTCAAAGTATATACCTACTGAGAATCAAATAAAGAATTAACAGATCACAAACATCAGAAATGAACGACCGCGGTCCGAAGTTCATGAGCAGAGGGGAAATAAGAGCTGCCCCTCGCGGCTCCTTGCACGGATAGATTCACTATTGGAAAACTTGCAAGTCATCGGCTGCACAGATCCTGCTCAGTCCGATATCAACCGGTGTTGTAAATACCAAATCGTACCCAGCTGTCGCTGTCCCTCGATATATCCCTGCATGCCCTCGATATATCTATCCCCTTGCTGTGTTGTACCGTGTCCGTATCGTACCGTGTTGAAGTGCTGCGGCTCGATCCGGCGTTTCCAGCGGACCAGATCGTCCTCGCCGTACCCCAGCAGTTTGGTCATCCGCCGCGCCTCCTCCACTGCCACCTGTTCGATGCGCGACTCGACCAGGCGCATCTCACGACGACGCTCCTGTTCTAGACGTACGAACCTGGTCGGGGGAGGAGGGGAGGGGAAGGTCACGGAGTGGAGGGGTCACAGGAGGGGGAATGGGGAGGTCGGGTTGGGTGGTTGGTTACACTGGCCAGGCCGGGGAAAGATCAGGTGGGTTGGGCATATATAAAACTTTGCCAACAAGCCCATCAAGCATGTCGATGATTTGTGGACGAGTTGGACTGGACTTCTGGCTCCGTAAAAAAATCTCACTTGATCGGATCCCCTTCTGGCTACAGCATAAACCTGACGCATCCAGTGAGGTCCTCGATAGGGCACGTCCTCGACAGATTTGAAAATACGACAAACGTCCTATAAACAGAGGCGGAGCTCTAGATAGCATTTTATACATGAAATAAAAAAGCACGCCTTTACGGCCCACAATAATCAGTACTCACTGAATCATCCGTTCCCGCTCGCTCCGACACCACTGACCTCTGTTTTCGGATGATGGCCACCCGTCCGACCACGCCGCCGCCGTCGTCGGCAGCGGCTCTGAGGTCCGACGAGGAGACGGCCCGCGGACCGGAGGCGGTGACCTGACCCGGGTCAGAGGGGTCACCGACCACCGGCAGGCCACGCACCTCCCAAACGTCCTCCAGCGGGCGCACAGACATGGTGTGCGGCGCCCGGGAGTGGAGGAGCGGTACTAGAGGAGAGGAGGCGACATCTCCTGTGGCGAGATAGAGAGAGGTAGTGATTCGGCTGGCGGCAAGGTGGAGATTACAGGTGAATATTGACGGTTACTGGATTTCTAACAAAATATAGTGTGGGAAACATACATTACAGTACATCATGCAGAAAATAGAGTACTTTTCTCGATATGAAAACAGAAAATACGTCACAGTGTTTTATGCGTCAAAAATAAAATGTCTCAGATGCGCTAGAAAAAAAGCAAAAAGTCAAAATATCGAATCTCGTGACAAAGCGCCGATTACGCCTTCGCTGAGGTTCGTTACATAGCATTCAGTGAGAATACAAAGGAACAAAATGGTGGTTTTGGTGGCGGTGAAGTGAAAACATGGGCCGTATTATAGGACACAGGAACTCTATGTTCAGCAATCGCATTCCTATCACCACCAATACAAATGTCACGACTCCTTTCGTTAAGATCCGTGTATTCCGTAGTCAACGAATATGCACGATCTCAACGATGGCTTCAAAGTCACAGACTCATCGCGAGTCCCAGGTATAACAACAAGACACACAACAATATACATCGCCAGCCAGCGGCCCTGGCAGTCTCAGACACCGCCTAACCCAAGACGAACTCCAATTCGCAACGGGTGACCTGACGACACTTCAAGCAGCACTGACGTATCACAAAGCCATTGCATTTCTACAAGAATATCTCAGCAAGCGATCACTACCCACGTCCTCCATTCACCTCAAAAGTCCGCTTCATAACCCTCTCACACTCTCTCCAGTCTCTCCCTCGCTCTCTCTCTACTCTGCCGACGGTCGAGCGACGCCTTCCGTCGCGGCTCTATCGCCCTAGCCGATGATCTCGATTCCCTTGAAGTACTCTGCGTCCACGTGGTTGGTGAGCCGCACCAGGTTGCTGTAGCCGTTGACTATGCTGGCCAGCCGGGTGTCCTGCAGCGGTGTAGTGATGATGGTGTACAGGTGGCCGTACACCAGGGCGTCCAGCGGGGTCGGCTGGCTGCCGAAAAAGTACGTCTCCCGACCGAGACGCTCCGAGAGCGCGCGGCAGCACGTGTCCACCTGATGGAGAGAAGAGAGGAATGTTAGCGGGGAATGAAGAGGCGATAAGAAGGGGTTAACGAGGGAGGTGGGGAATCGGTTAAGAAGGACAGGACAGGACTTCAAGGAGCGTTAGTGTCAGTAAGAGGAATGAATCAGTGGAGGGTGAGTGGGCGAAGGGCTGAAGAAGCCGAGGCCGTGAGGCGGGATGAGCTGGACTGATGCTGAGGGAGACGAGTTGATGAGCGCAGGCACATGGGTCAAAACCGATGCGTTCAAATGCTGCAGCTGCAAGTGTGTGGCAATGCAACTGATAAGCCGATCTAAACTGCTGATTAACTGTCGAAGTTCGCTATCTACGAGTATCACGCAGGATAAAAGACCAAAACACGCTTATCGAAAAGCACATTCATAAAAAATTGACAGTCCATAATGCCACTCCCCGCGACTCGTCAGAGAATCCACACATTGTCTCGAAAGCTCATGAACTTGGGTAATAGCTGATCCAATGGCCATTGACCAGCTTTACCGTCAACTCACCGCAATAACTAGCAGAAGCTCGCAATGGAGCAGCTCAGAATTCAAAGAGCTTACAAATCCCTATATCCCTCCCTCTGCTTTGCCTTGCACTTTTCTCTTCCCCCTCACCTCCGCGTATACGGCATCCAGCGATTTGTCAGCCCACTGGAGCGCCTGCAGCCGTGCTGCCATCTTGCGTCGGCGGAGCCAGGTGAGAACGCCGCCCAGCGGCCACGGCTGGAACGAGCCGTAGCGGGGCGCCGTGACCGTCTCGAACGTCTCACCGTCCAGCCAGGACAGGTAGAGCTCGGCGTTACCTGCAGACACGGGTGGGCACGGTTAATAGAGGTCGCACACCTACCGTAGCGATGATTTTTTGGGATATTTTTGGAGCTGAATTCATTGCATAATATATGGGTGGTACTCGCTAGAATACCTACTTGGCCACAAACCGGAAGCGTTTCACGAAAATGACATAATTTGTGGGAAGAATCACGAAGTGTTCCAACTTTTTTAACATCTTGCACTACGTAGCACAACATGGCATCGTATTTCACAGATATATTTACGATGCTACCGAGTAGACGTTTTATTGGAAATGAGATCATAGATTATCCACGAAACGCGCGGAAACATCGGCGACGTTTAGAAAAATAGAGGAAGAACTCAAACCCGCCGACAAGCACGTGGTTACCGCCTCCGTCCGCCGGTAGCACCCACCGAGGATGTTGTGCACGAGCGATATGAATGCCTGCATGTCCGCCTGCTGCTTGCTGTCCAAGCTATTCAGCACGACGCCCTTCTTGGTGACAAACGCCACGATCGGGTCGAACTCGGAGATGACGAATTTGCCGCACCTGTCAACATGCCAAACATGTCAATACCTAGGAAAAGAGATAGTCGATTTTAGAGAAAATAATCTAATGTTCATTCAGACGCACTTACAAAACAGGCCTGCGCCTGACGCATTGCAAGGGGCCGGAACAGGTCCCGTAGTCCAAAGCGGATTACACTATGTCTCTTGTCCAATCGAATACAGCTAGGCCCCTTGGCGCAGGACGTGCACTCGCTAGGTCTGGCCAAGGGAGCTATGTCGAGGATTCGCATTGGCTTAGGTAAAATCAGCTTCTGCCTCGCGAAATAACGGTGAAGAAATAAGCAGATCACCAAACTGGACACACGCCCTAAGGACAACAGCCTATCCCCCGAAACCCCGGAAAGTTCACCGAACGGAGCAACATTCACAGTCCCGCTTCACGCACCTGAGCAGCGGCACGCGGCCGGAGGGAGACATGTTCTCGGCGTTGGCCCGCTGCTCGACCGTGTACTCGAGGTTACACATGCGCAGGAACGCCTGGACGGCCACACACTGGGCGCTATCGGCCAAAAGGATCTGTCGGCACACCCGCGTGGGGTAATGGTCAGACGGGGGGGGGGGGCAGCCGTGGGTTGTGGTCAGACCGAGGGGTAAGACAACGAGGCTAGAGTTCAGACCGAACGGGTAGTGGTCATATCGCATTTCGCAGTTGGGTAGAGATCAGAACGAGAAGTATGTGCTCAGATCAAGATATTATGTACAGGCGCTGGGTGGAAGTATTTCTGTGTCGGTAAAGAGAGGTTTAGTAACATGTTCAACGTTTAATGAAAAAGTACAACTATATGTATTTGTGATGTGTAGCCCACAGGAGGAAGGAAAGAAAATATGTTAGCGTTTTACGTCACTTCCATAGCACTGAAATTGGACAGTTACATTAAACAATAACAGCAGATAACATTTATGCCATGTTTATTATGTTCATGTTTATTATGTGCCATGTTGAGAACAAACCCTTGTCATATTTATGAGTACAGCCTGCATTTGGTAGCCATTGGTCCGGCCAAAGCGTAGCACGTGGCTCACACATCAGTTCTGTGATGATGGTGTGGTAACTGATTCATTGCGCCCCACACACCTACCTGTTCTGTGATGTAGGGTGGTAACTGATTCCCTAAGCCCCACACACCTACCTGTTCTGTGATGTAGGGTGTATAGAGGACGGCGTCCGGGGCCCAGGGCTCCGACGCCGCCATCTCGATGGAAAGACACTCCGTCAGCGCTGTCGGCATCGTGGCTGAAAAAGGCAGACATTGTCACATTAGTTGGTTCTCAAAGCTTGAAGAAACGGCACATATGATAAAGAAAATATATATTAAAAGCAAGAAAAAATGTAGAAAGAAACAAAGGCGGCTTGGCCTCACGCTCTAGACATACATAGCTCCAGCCTTCTTTCCGATGCATCCTGTCCCTATGGTTGTGTGTTATAAAAAATTTACGCTATGATTGAAAAAAAAAAATGTTGGGTCTAACGTGGGGGTGAAAAATGTGATGTATAGCTGGCTAGTGGCTGATCTATTCGGCCACCTGAACTTACAGCACTGGTTGGCCATAAGCCGATCACCCGTTGGTTAATTCAAAACTGCACACAGCATCGATCAGGTGTCAGCACGTCATGCTTACAAGAACAATGTTCCGGTACCACGGAAACATCATCAGCTGCGGTATCGGTATAAAAAATGATATTTCTGTTTGTCAAAAATGGCATCGCTGATAATAGGGGAGAGTGGGGTAAGATGCCCAGGGTGGGAAAGACGCCCCACCCCCTCTAGCGGGGAAACAAAGAATCGAACCTAGAAATTAATGTTCTTAGCGTAAAGCGGAAGCCTGCCTTGTTAACTGCACAAAAATTTGCGAAACTCAGTTGGGCAACGGCTGGTTGGTAATCGCATGTTTTTTATTTGCTGCTTTCAAAAAATATTTTGGTGTCAAAACATTGTAAATATCAAAGAAGGTAGATATTTTTTGCGTCCCTTGCTATAGTCGTGATACATTAACATGCGTGTACTGTGTCCCAAACAGTTTGTTTCAGGGTGTAGTTTTATGGCTAACAAATTGTGCTGATTTAATGTTACTTCGGTACCTTGGGGTAAGATGCCCCCTGTCCTGATGGGGAAAGACGCCCCCCTAAATCCGTAGGCTGTCCTTCAAGCAGCCCGTCAAATAATTTATTACATACTTGTGATGAGAGACAAAAGCCGATCTGGGACTATTGAGAGTCCGGTACGGTCCGGTGCTCCCCATGCCGGTCTCTCGGCCCACTTGGCGACTTTTTGGGCGGCATCTGACTCTGAGAGCCCTCACGACGGCCTCTGTAGGCCCCATTATTGCCTCCAGGGCCCCTCACGACATCCTTTGAGGGCTCCCACGTTGCCTCCACGGGCCGCGCTGGCATCTGAGGTCCCCACGATGGGCTCGAGGGCCCTCAAGCATCATGAAGACCTATAAGGGCCCCACAGTGGTCTTCGAACGCCACCACGGAGGCTTGTTTGGCCACGCTGGACTATGATGGCCCTAACGATGACCTCTGAAACCCCTTACGACTACTTTTGAGGGCCCTTACGTTGACGTTTGGTGTCTACTGCAGGCTCGAAGGGACTACTGATTCGTTCAGGCGATTCACGTGCCTATTAATGTCACTTATAGTGCAGGGGGCATCTTACCCAACGCCAGGGGGCGTCTTTCCCACCCTGTGGGGTAAGATGCCCCCTTTCACTTCTTCAGGAAAATGCTTAATAGCAAAAAAAGTTATCATATTTCAGGCACAAAAGTGTGATATTTTTGGAGAAAAATGATGTCGGCTTCCGTTGAAACTCCAAGTTTTGGCTTTCCGATCGTCATTTTCGAATAATATATGACAAAGTAAAACCCTGGGCATCTTTCCCCACTCTCCTCTAGACACTTCACAGGGAGGAAGACGGTTTGTCACAAAAGACTTCCGAGAATTATCCACTGCTTACGGGTTATGTTACCAAGTTACTGATCTGATCCTAATTACTGCCCTCAGGGGGATGGAGGCTATGGAGCAGCTGAGCAAGCAGCGGCAGCAGATGAAACGGTGCCAGGAGCTACATGACCGGCATATTCTGGCACTGATGGCTTACAGGACTGCCCTGCAGTCGAGTCAACGGTCTGGCACCGACACAGCTCCTGATGGGGCGCACGCTGCACACTCGTCTACCGAGCTCTCCGAGTCTCCAAACTTTCTACGGGATATTTGGCGGGTAGCTAACAAAACTGACATTGAAGCCGAAAGGCAGATAGAGGGTTAACTGTCACGGTCAGAAGCCTGTAGCTGAGCTGGCTAGGGCTGACCCGCGGCACATGTTGGGGGCATCCCTGATTACAAGCGGGGAGGTGGTGTTCTCGGATGCATAGTTGATGTGAAACTGGGAGGGCGAAGCTAGGTGAATTGCAGTCGCCACTGTCCAGGGTCTGGAATCGATACCATCTGGCGAGTGCACCAGCATCACTAGCACATTTTTCCTGTCCCGTAGATGGTCACACAGCCAGTTGCCTGCAGTCGGAAGAAATGGGCAGACAAGAGTAATGGACTGGGTCACGTTTCCCATATTTTCCCATGCCAAAGGAGTGGGTCGGTGGAAGCCAAGTGAGTCACTTCAGGAAGTTACAAAGCAGACAACTGGGGTCGCAGAACAGCAAGGGTGCTGCAGGGCTGCAAATGGGCAGGTTTATTCCACCTCCTTATGCCCAGCCACCTTGTCTACAAAAAACAATGCTGAAATATATAGGTAGGTACCAATGGGCTGGGTGGACTAATTGGTGGGTCGAGACCGAGTTGCTACACCAAGCTGAACCGTCGTCTACATTGAAAATTTAGGAACTTGAACTTGTAAATACAATGCTGTATTTTCACACCTGTCTATTTTATACTGTTTCATAGCTCGCTATCTTTTATGAAGGGTGAGATGTGCCAGCTTGTGCCTGCACAGTATAAGTATATCATGTGTGCTGACCCACTGACTGGCTGTAGAGGTGTCAGTGGTTAGAGGCCAGCAAAGTGACAGTGGCAGGCACAGGACAAGGTTGAGTAGAGCCAATGCAGAATATGAACTACAGTGACAGTACACAAGTGTGACATGCAAGAGTGGGGCCTGCGGCAGGCAAAAGCTGCGCAAGTGGAGATCCGCAATGCTTCACTTTTGTTGTTATCAAGTAAAAGTCCTTGCCCCTGCCTCAAAGCAACCAGGAAATAAAGGCACCTGTTTCACAAATATCAAGAGGGTCATGATTTATTGTAAAATGTTATCTTGAATCTTCTAATGTTCAACACAGACATCGGTAAACGAAAATGAAAATGGTATAAAAGCAGGTCGATATCTATATTTCCTTTGACAGAAAGCTTACAGCTCGCTCACCATGAGAAATGTAATCCCAGATAATTGTTTGAAATACGTACAGATTTCAACCTCAGGACAAAAAAGCTGGATAGCTCCTCTTGAAATGAGAGTAACAACTAAAAATATTTCCAATTATTTCTACAATTCGCTCCCAAATCCACACAAAGTTCGCCAAACATTTTCGCCAATTTCTGTAGCACGCGCGCCAGAATTGAGGTTTATGTATTTGTCTTCGAATAAGAGCCCCTTTGGTTGGTTGCTTTAGAGCGGCAACTTTACTTTTGAAACAATGAGCTGCCATTTAGGGCCTTGGAGCTGCCGACAATATTATTATAATAAATACAACAAAAGCACCTAGCGATTCTGCCTATAGATGGCCTTGGATTCTGCATTCGGACGTAGGGGAGAGTGGGGCACATTCGTGCATGGGGCACATTCGTTTTCAGCAGTTTATGGGAACACGAGGTGACTGCACGAGCTCAAGGTAAATTATGGAAATATGTCTATCATTGCCGTCCTTCGTTCACCGTAGAAGACAACACTGTACCTGCTGTCATGCTTGATAAAAACGCAAATTTGTAATATTCGTGAGCTTTCCAAACTTTTCTCATATCATCCATTTTCGTGATCCTGACTCGGAAATGTGGTCTCAGCTTTTTCAAAATTGGGGGTGAAGAAGCCCACTCTATTCACGGAACTGCTGCAAACTTGTTTGTTGAAAAAGTGTCATTTTTTCAAAAAGAAATTTTGAAATATATTACTAATAACGTTGTGGGGCAGGTTCGTGTACGCACTGCCTGGGGGCACATTCGTGCATATTTTTGCTAGTTTTTGCGATTTATTGACTTTATCTGTAGTAGGTTTCTCTAATGACGCTCGCCTGACTCAGTCTCGACTGCTTGCGACGTCGTGACGAGCAATTCACGCGAACTTGGCGAGGTCACGGAGGCCGGCAGTTGGCACATTCTTGTTGGCCAGCCCATTCTTTCTACATTTGTTGTGCAATGCATTCTTGTCGAAAGGAATCAAGTGAAATGACCCCCTGCCAATTTCCTTTGGTAAATTTCTGGTAATGCCCGGTAATTTCTCGAATTTTGCCGGGTGAACGGAAGTGCCCCATCTCTTGAACGAATGTGCCCCATAGGTGGGGCAGTTTCGTGCAAATGTTCAGAGTTAATAAAAGTCATTTTTTTCTAATGGAAGCAATAATTTTATAGGATAACTTTTAAAGAGGAAAACTATCTGCAATAGTTCGTTTCCATACTACAATCAACAATTTTGCCATTGCACTAACCAAAGAACAGATATATGGGTTTCCATTTTTTGCACGAATGTGCCCCACTCTCCCCTACTGTAATCAAGCACAGGCTGAGATGTTACTGCAGGAGACCTTTCGCTTGCACCCTAGCCCTAACCTACACCCAAACACCTTCCTCAGCAAACGATAAACGCATAAATTATAGCTAGCTACGACTTGGCTACGACTAGAGTCACGCTCTAACCGTAACGTCCCTGTGGCCTGTGGATAGCAACGCTCCACACAAGCGTCCTAAAATACAGCTTACAAAACAAATATGCAACCTCCGAACACCGCCCCCAACTGAAATAGACGCCCTCGTTGTGACGGACATAATTTCGCTGTTATTTCCGTCATAGGTTATTCACTATCTATTCCCCAACATTCTCGAAATAATCGGTTGCTTGTTCAACTGCCAAGGCCACACTGCCGGCCCTGCTCCCCACGGTAACCAGCTGCAGTTCCGCTTTGTTTACCGACCACGAGATCCACGCTACACAAAAACCGGTCTAGCCAGCCCCGGCATCTGTCACGGGCAGTCCGGTACGCCGAGAGCGCCGGGACTAGAATCATCCTCAGCGACTCGCCCTCGTACCGAACTACCGAGGCTGGCCGGCGCCGGGAGTTGCCGTAGTGTTGCAATCGTTTCCCCTCCCCAGCGTCGGGTGCGCGTGGGGGTCGTTGCCTGCCCGGCGTGCCAAGGTCGGTGGGCCGCGTGGTCGCCGCCGCCGCCTCTGCCGTCGGCCCGGCGATCGATACCGGAGGCGCGGGTGGGCCGTCCGCGGCCGGGCACTCCGAGCGAGCGTCACACGGCCGGACCACGACCCCACCGCGCCGCAGCAACCGTCACAGCAGTCTGCGCCAGCCGCCAGACCACACTCACAAACACCGTAGGAATTTTACCGTCTTTATTGACACAAACCGCCTCGCAGGGGCGGGACCAGGCCCCGCCCCGCGGGCCCGCGACCCCTCGCCATGCGCAGAGACAATTGGTTCCCAAAGGCCGTCTGACGACCCGAAGAATTGGGCCCCCGCCCATGGCGCTCCCTTCGGCCGGAGACAAACAGTCAACGTGGCCGGCAGCGGGGAGAGGGCGGCACCAGGAGATGGGGGACGCTCGGAGCGCCGTATGGCTGTTCTCAGACTCTGACCCGTGTAGACATGGACAGATCTTAGTTCTCCGGAATGAATACACCGCAACATATCATGAACCGTCCAACTCAACTATTGCTATTTTATAAACTATTATGAGAGGCAGTGGATATCCAATGACAAACCCTGTGGGTAAAGCGATAGATGAACAACTTCGAAATGGTGTTCAGGAGCTTTCAAGTGAAATCCGAGTCTGCCCTTGTGAGCTTCAAAGTTTAGCAGTTCTGCAATCCCAAACACAAAAGACAATACCCAAAGACACAAGTTGGAAGTAGAGCCAACACCACAATAAAAAAATATCCAAAGAATAATCGCCGCACTCTTTATACCCACTAACCACTACTTATTATACCATTCCATATTCACCGGTCCTCACATTCGGAGAATAAAGCTCACAGGCAGCCCACACGTTGAGAACACCTCTGAAACCAAGAGAGCAAAGCCATGCTTCGGGCCGCGTTTCGGCGAAGGGTCGTGTCGCGCCCGGCGGCCGGTGACCGGCCGGCCGGAGCTCAAAGGGCAAGATCGGCCGCTCACTGCTTGGTGGGCTGGTGGATAAAGTGGCCCTGCTGTGACGGCCGCGGCTGGATGTGCGTCGGCTTGGGCTTCTCGTGGATGTGTTGACGGCTTCAGTGGGGAACTCCCGGCTGTTGCCGTCCGGCACCGGCTGCCCGGAGGTCACCGTCAGCTTCGGCGGGCTACCAGAGCAGGACCAGGGAGTCAGTATCTCAGTGGTCAGGAGTGGAAGCCAATGGTGTAGGAAGTTTCAGATTAAACTATATATGAGCACACAAAACACACACTGTAGGACTACCATACAACTTTACCTCTGTGAAAACATCCCCACTGCCTGTGTCGAGTCCACAGCAGCAGGCTCCTTGCTCTCACCCTCACTGTCCCTGTGAGGCTTCTTCTGTACCACGCGGGCACCTCCAACTTTCACTGTAAAACAACAGTCACAGGTCCAATATGGGTTAAGATTTTATCTCCAGTTTCACAGAGATGACATGAAAAAATCTTAAGTAGATAAAGCAGTGATGACATTTTATTTTGTTCAGTACCAACATGAGAATACCAAAACAAACAGCAATAATGCATCCCATACCAATGAACTTGACAACACAACCTTCATCATTCATAGTAACTGATACACTTGCTTCAAAACATCTTTGATGCAAACTGCAAAGCAAATGCCAGAGGTGTAGTTCTCATGCATATGCTTCAATCCGATGACTGAATAAAATCTTTATCCAGATCCCATTGGATCATACATGCTGCTGCACTTATTTGTCAAAAGTTCAAAAAAAAATCATCCAGATGTGATTTTTTCTTTGGAATCATCCATTTGGAATTTAGATCTCAACAAAATTTCTTCAGACACCTTATGAAAGTTCAATGATTTTATACAAACATGCCTTCAATCTAACTGAAGAACACCTTATGGTTGGTTAGTAAAATGACAATTTAGCTTACCAGCTGGGCTGTGACCAGCAGCCTTCGGTTCTTCATCAGCCATGATTAGTTGCTTCAAACAAATTCAATGATCTAAAAAGCAATGAAAAAGTCAACCGCAAGACAGTGGAGCTATTACTCAATGAACAAGCATGTTAGGTCGAAATGATCATTTGGATTCCCATAAAGACAAGGGCCCTTAAATAACACTGAATGAAGTTGAAGTGAGTGCCTTGCTAAGAACAATAACAGCATCAAACCAGGAAGACTCTGCCTGAACCTCAAAGATATATGCAACTTATAGTGGATTAAAATGTCATATGCCATCACCGGAGCCAATTCTCGAACAAAAGACGTGCCTGAAAATTGAAATCAAAATGGCTATTTCCGCTGTTTCCTTACTACGTGTTGATGGTAAATGCCGCAGTGAGTCAATTTTGTGCAACACATTACACGTGCAAGTTGCATAGTCGTCCAATGGAAAAGCATTTGACCCGCCCAACGAGATTTGTCAGCTGATCGCTTCAATTTTCGGCATTTATTCGGGGATAATTCTTACAGTCATTTTATCAAAATTGAAAATATGCTCAGTCTTTTTACCTCACACTGAGTTTACGAAATTGCAGTACAAATTTAACTAAAAAAAAGTTTTAAAAGTATAATTGCGACGACTAAAGCTCAACAACACGACATTTTCGTCACATTTTCGTAAGGTTTCGGAAGCGAGTCAGCTGAGTAAGCTGTAAAGCTGACAAATAAGAATGAACATCCCAATGCAAGATATTTATTGCAATGTGCTGCAGAAAAGATGCTATGCGCCGCTGGCCAGCGTTGCAATATTTTTCATGTAAGATTCGTTTCAATTTTTCGAAAGAAAATGGTTTTGATGCCGTTGCTAACAAATTTGTACTAGAAAAATACAAAAGTAAATTTTCCAAGCATATGAAGATAATCTTTGTTCATTTTGTTCCGAATGAATGTTATTGCTTATTGCGTAATGCATACAAATTATGTAACACACGTTGAGCTGAAGATGCCTTCTAATTCATCATTGTATCCATGAAATTCTCGGTATATACCCAGTAAACATGCCTCGGCCGTCGGGGTGACGTCGGCAACTCGGCATCGGCATGCCGACGTCGGCCCGACGTCGGTCCAACCTCGGCACGACGTCGGCTGGATGTCGGATATGCCCGCATGTTCCGACGTCCAGCCGAGGTCCAGCCGACGTCGGGCCGACGTCGGACCGAGATCAATTGCTGAGGTCCAGCCGACGTCGGGCCGACGTTGGGGCGACGTCGTACCGACATCGGCCGCTGTTTTGACCGTTTAAATAATATAAAATACATGTTTCATGTTTCATAAAGAGCCTCTGTATCCAAAATATCCTCAGGAAACTCAAATCTTCCTCCACGCCGCAACCCCCTGATCCGGACTGGACGGGAAACTTTATCCATTTGGGATTGCCCGTAAGCCGAGCTCGCCCGTAGCCGGGTGCGGTGAGTGCTTGGGGACTGCTCGGCCTATCCTTTGGTCAGGCTCAGCCCCGGCAACTCATCAGGGCCGGGCCCAGTTCATATAGAAAGGCCAGTCGGCAAGTGTCACTTTGCCAAAGTGCCACTTATCAAAGGGACACTTTGGGAAACGTTGGTGCAGGTGTGTAAGAGTGGCTATATGAATCCATTGTGGGGTAGCCCTTTCCAATAAGTGCCACGTAACAGCAATGGGACCAGGGACTCTACATGAACTGGACCCAGGGTGTTCGCCAAGAAGACCAATGTCTCCATCCTATGCTCCTTCCGGCTCTGAAATGGTCTTGTCAGACCGAAAGGGCATAACCCAACAAAACAAACCAAATTCGTTAGTTGGCTGCGTGGTGTAGTGGTTAGCGCATTAACCTCACGTTCGAATGACACGGGTTCGAATCCCATCGCCGGCTGATGCTTTTGGCGTGTTGTCCCAGTAAACATACCGACGTCGGCGACTGGGGGGATCGAATCCCGCCGCCGGTTGATATTTTTGCCGCGTTGTCCCAATAAACATGCCGACGTCGGCCCCGTCGGTCCAACGACGAACGATCTCGTCAACCTCGGCAAACGATCTCGGCCCGACGTCGGCTCGACGTCGGCTGGACTTCGGCTGGACGTCGGAACATGCGGGCATATCCGACGTCCAACCGATGTCGGGCCGAGGTTGAACCGACGTTGGGCCGACGTCGTCATGTTTACTGGGTATTCATAACTATAGAATTGCTCTCTATGAAGCCAAGCGCTAATTTTCAACCGCTTTATTAATTATTCTGAACCACTTCTGGACTCAGATGATGATATGATAAAAAAAACGCGTTTCCCAGTGGTAAAGCATGTTTGTGACTGTCACTTGAAAGCTTTTGATTTAATTCGAGGACCATCTGAATTTTATTATTAATTATAAAATCAGCTCACGCTGAATGATTCCTGAAACATAATTGAAAACACATAAAAATTGCCCATCATCATGTGAGTACCTAACATAAATTTTCGACGAATAACAACATTATTTGTTATTTGTGCAAATATACATGTTTGCAGTAAATTAACACTTATAAAGAAAGCGATCATGGCGGGTGTGAGACATATCCTTGCGCGTTGTAATCAAAGTTTACAACTGGGCGGCCTGCGAGCGCCGTCAGTCGTCGAGGAGTTGCCGGGTGGGTCGCGTGAGAGGCGGTGCCAGATTTTGGTGCCGGCAATTCATTGTACTGATTCTTCTCGTTTCCATTTGAAGGTGAGATGTTTCCCTCGTTTCGGCTCTAACTGTGGGTGCTTTATATCTTACCTGAAGCGGCGTATCGCCTCGCCCATCGCATCGCTTGCGCTGGTCATGGTTGATTGAGCCAAGAATCTTGGGTTGAGCGGCGATAATTAATCGTTTTTTTTTTTCGCCAGGGCCGTGCTTGGGACAACAAGCTTAGCTTTGTTAGTATGGTCGCTCAGTATTCTGAGCCAATATCCAAATGTTAGAAAGCAGATGATTTATATGAATTGAAGCCACCGTACGGTGTTAACATCTAAATCATTTTTTCTCACTACCTAGCAGGCATAAGCAACAAGTAAAAGTTAAAGTTAAGTTAAAAATAATGCTGTTTTTAAATATCATGGTGTTGCAATGGTACATGACATGTGAAATCTTATGTGACAAATTATGTTTCCAGATTAAGTATGTCTGCCAAAGGAATCCGTGAAGCTACTGGAAAGGACATTTTAAACCGTCATCTTGCTGGTGTTGCCGCAGTTTCAGCCATGTTTGCTGCTGTTGGGGG